TCGGGATAACTGCGATGCAACATTCTTATTGAGAATATCTTTTCTTTAAGGAAATCTATCAAATGCCTATTCTTTATGGACCTTGTAGGAAGGTAACTTGTTCTGATGATAGATTGATTCTCGAGATTGAGTTATCTACTTATTACCTCCATTATTAAAGCTGGTAAATCAAGATTGTGTGAAAGATAGTATTGATGCTACAGTTCATGAAAGTGTGGGACAAGTTTCTTCATTTAATTTGATTATGTTTTTGGACATTATTTTCCTTTTATTTGTTTTGTGATGCATTGTGGGTCATTTTATTGATAATCTTACTTTTTATAGCAAAAAAAAAAAATATTCGGTCAAGGATTGTTTTTCAATTTCATAGCATTCATTTGTTATGAGACTTCTTATTACTTTAAGATTCCTTAAAATCACTCATTTTCATTCAATATTAGTCCTTTGTGGTATCTATTTGATTTTCTTTCACACTCTCCATTTCTCTCTTAACAAATCATTGAACCATCTCACGAGTCACAAATTAAAAATTGCGGTCACCTATTTCATTAATATTGATGATCAATCTTGAAGTAAACCAAATTACTTTTAAAAATTGATATCTTTTGAATAGATGATCTACAAAGATATAAAATTTCCATATTAATTATGTTTAAAAAAAAAAAAATAAGTGAGTTGTATCCTAAGCTCACGAAAACCAAAGTATGTCTTTAGATTTAATCATAATTTATAAAAAATATTTATAAATCTCTTATCAACAAAAATTTTTACATTAAAAATGAGATTGGATCCTGTAGTCTTATAAATTATAAGACAAGTCTCCATCAACTTAACCAACTTTTGTTACTTATTAGTTATTTTTGTTTTCATCCCTACATGGACAAGGTATGTGGTTGATTTAAATGTGATACTTTATGAGCATCCAAATATCAAACTATCAATTTACTTACGCAAGAAATGCGGCAACATGGGATAAGGAAAAATCAAAGAAATGCACAAGATTATCATTATACGAATTTTAGGCCATGAAAGTTTGTGATTCAATCTCAAGACACCTAAGATAAAAGAATATCGTAACCTGGGTTTAATATTAAACACAATCTGCGGGTTATAACAATTAATTTTGAATATAAAGGTATCACTTCATCTGCATAAAATGTGATTAGAGAACAGAATACACATTCGATCTCTCATGTATATATATTAATGTGTATCACTTTATTATATTCTCACAATGTGTGTGTATCACAGATCGTGTTTGAAATGGTCCTTGGTAAAAAGATTGTAGGACAAATTTGGCTTGGATGTAAGGCCCAATAAAATGCTGGGCCCATGATCTTCCTATTTTGAGTGGCGCTCACTGCTCAGTCCACTGGATAAGATCCGCTCTCAATTGAAAACACTGAACAATCTTGATATCCAGGTAATATTAATAAAAAAAATGATATCCAGATAATATACAATTTTTTGCATGATGTTGATGAAGAAGAAGATGATGATGATGTTATGAGTATCTGATTTTATTATCTGTCCAATCTCTGCTAGAATCATGACATTTGAATAGTGTATAATTCAATGCTAATAAATTGATTTTGTTAAATATATCTATATATAATAATTAACTTACACTTCATGGAGTGTAAGTTAATTATTCTAATAGAAAATCTGGGCCCTTGAAGATTTGTTGCTCCCTCCCTCCCTCTTTGTGGAGCAATTTTTTAGATTGAAATCCTTTCAAGTTAAGATTCATTAATTTATGTGAAGTTTTTTTTAATATTTTCATTTATTTTATTATTTTTAATGAATTATAAATTTTTCTCTCTTTCTTAAAAAGGAAAACTCCATGAAATTTATGATTTCTTAACTTGACAGGGGTTGAATCCTACTCTTTTTTTTTTTAATTCTTTCAACTTTCTCCTCACGTCTTATTGAGACGAGCACAATTTTTTCATTATCTTTTTTAACATATTTTAGTAGGTCTTGAATGTTAAAAGGATGAGTGCATTATTGAAAAAAATTTTAATTTTAATTTTAATAAAAGTGCACCTTTGGCTCGTTTAACATTACAAAATATTTTATTTTAATCCCTTAATTTTATAAAATATTTTTTAAGTTATGTAATCCTAACATTATTAGTTTCACCACAAAAATATCAATATTAAACTTTTAAATGTTAATAAAATATGCTCAAATGTTGACATAATATGTTTAATTTTTTAAAATAATAATGATTAATTGATTGGCACAAAAATATCATTTGAAACTAACAATATAATATTAACATTAAAGGATTAAAAAAATATTTTATTAATTCAAAACATCAAATTGAGACATTATATAAAGTAAGATAATAAAAATATACTTTTACTTTTAATAGATTAGCTATGCATGAAATAAAATTGACTTTCATTTAAAACAGAAAAAGAAAATTGTTTTTTTTTTTTGGTATGGAGAAGTGTAACTTTTTAACACTTGAAAAGGATTGTAATAGGAGGATCCCTGTGAGAAACAAAAAAAAAACATTTTAACGTTAAATGTCCAATTTTATATAAGATTTTCGTTTTGTTCATTTATTTAAAAAATCATTTTGAGAATGTTTTATAAACTAAAAAGGAAAAAAATATGTATTGATATTTATTTACATCAAATCAATTGGAATTTTAAATTCAAAATTTATACATAATTCTTACCAAAATATATATAATTTAATATTTTTATCTAAAATTTATATAATATAAATACTTATTTTTATTTAAAAAATTTATTATGAGAGGAGAGGGAGAATTGTGTGTAATTTTTATATAAGTACAAAAGGTGAGGAGAGAGAAAATGTGGCTGGCAACACTCTGACAATTTTTTTAATTGTATTGAACTCGATATGATAAATATCAAATTTTATATATGTTTACCACAAGAAAAAATTTGGAACTTGATATCTACCAGACAAAGATTCAATTTATAATAACTTGGTAAATATTTTTAAAAGTGCATTTTTAGAAATATTTTTTTTTAACGTGGTAGTCAATTTGCCGATCAAAGAGTATGTTGTGAAATTGTCCTGATGCTTGAAGAATATGGAAGAGATGATATGGTCCCCAAACAAGTGTGATATTTGTAAGCATGTGACTATTAGATAGTGACCCTACTAGCATGACAGCTGAGGGGTGATGTGTTTGTGCGCGCGCCAAAGCTTTATTTTAGAAAGATTGTGTTTCTTTCTTTGTGTGGTTTTCCCCAAGCTTTCAAGTCCTTTGCATATAATATGCTCATAGATCTTTGAAAAATGACCTCATTTGGATGCTATTAGTGTTTCCCTAATCACCTTAACATGCTTATCGCCTCTTCTCTCACCCCTTCTCTCACAACTTGTTAAAAACTAAACCAATCATTAAATCAATTATTAAGTTGATTTGAGAATTAATTATTAAAATTATTACCATATAGGCCATAACTAAAATATTGTATTAAACTAGTCAAGATATCAATTCAACGGGAAGGGTTAAGTAGTTAACTTAATTTTCATTACTATGATATATACATAAATATATATATATATATATATATTAAGTATGTTTAAAATTATAAGATATTTTTTAAAAGTTTGAATATCTAAAAGAGAAAACATAATAATGGTTCCCTATAGTTTAATTGGGTTTTGTTTTCAATCCCTATAAAGATTTTTTTTGGCCGATAGTCTTTATAAGAATTAAATAGTCTTTATAAAAATTAAAAATATTAAAACATTGCAGGGATTAAAAGCAAAATCAAATAAAATTATACGAACTAAGAATTGTATTTTCTCTATTTAAAATTATAAGGTATCTTTTTGAGCAAAAAATTATTAGCTATCTTGGTGTTTGATTGTTTTCTGAGAGCAATTATTTATTCTTTTCAACAGCGCCATTTTTAATGATGAATATTTGAATTTAAAGGATGGTCATTTTTAACGATGAATATTGAAATTAAAGAATATTCATTTTTAATGACATTGTTAACTGTTTTTACGAAACAAAAATTAATTGAAATGCCATACAATTGCAATCGGAGTAAGTCTACGTATGCAAGTATATTATGGGTCCGTTTGATTTTCCTTCATTTCACGTTCAAGAAGTAAAATTTTACTTTCAGAAAATTAAAAATTGTTTGGGTAGAACATTTTATAAAAAAGCACATCCTGAAAGTATATTCAAGTAGTGGTTGAAAGTGAATTTCTGAAATGTAACTATTTGAAATTTTTGAAAAGTGAATTTAAAAAGTAGGATATTATTTGACCATACTACCCTAAGTTTAATCTCTTATTCTTTTATTTAAAAAATAGTTAATTCATTAAAAATATAATTATTATTTTAATAATA